AAGCTATAATGTCAGACGTCTTTATCTTTTCGTGTTTTTTGTTCATTTACTTGAAAGCGTCACCGTCTCCAAACTAAAGTGAGCAGCTGATTCAGGAAATCATTGAGCCTTTTTCTGGAATAAAATGTAAATATTTCTGCGTGAATTCTGGGATCTAGTGACTTCTTTATGAAGTGTTCCTGACTTTACGATGGTTTAGATCTGAATTCTAAGTGAAAATAATGAAATAGAGGAGGGCACATTTTGCAGGTCCGTACCTGAACGAGGATACGAGGACGCTGGGGGGAAGGAAACGGGACGTTGTGCATGAAGCTGGAGATGTGTCTGCAGAGAGAGAGAGAGGAAACAGAGATCCATGAAATCAAGTTTCCGTCCACAAGTTATTATAAACTGTTAAAATAACAGAAATTAGTCCGAAAAACAGAAAAAAATATTCAAAAAAACAAACCAAAAAATAAATTACTCAGAAAAACCAGAGTTTTTTTTCAAGTGAATGCAAAACACTCCCGTAAATTCCACAGCTCGATTAATGATTTGGTTTAAAATAAAAAAGGATCCAAGCGGTGCACTGACTTCTCGAGAGGCAGGACGTGCGGCCCGGAGATGGAGTATCTGTAGATGAAGGTGAGAAACTTCTGGAAGACGTTGAAGAAGGGCCAGTGGGATAAGACGCAGATGCTCTTCTTCACCTGCAGGCTGCGGTTGGTGATCGGCCGCCGGTCGACCACGCTGAGCAGGCCGAGCCTCACGCTCTGCCGCTCCGACAGCAGCTCCCTGGAGAACGACTCGTAGAACTGGATGGCTGCTCCGTAAACCTGCAGCAGAGGATTTATTTTACTTTAGTATTTAACTGGAAGGAAACGTCTCATCTATGAAAATATCTGCAGTAGATCCTGCTCTGCTACGATTACCAATGAACTTACTGAGTAAATACGTTTATTCAGTTATCTAGCTAACCTAGTCTACAGCTGTTGCACAGTGTGTGTGTGTGTGTGTGTGTGTGTCCTCGCCCACCTTGTCCCCAGAGGCGGACGTGAGGACGAAGGTGGAGAAGATGGGCAGCTGGTACTTTGTGTTCAGAGGCCAGCTCTCCACAGTGACGCCCATCGGCAAACAGAAGACCGGCACTGACTCCGGCAGAGGGAACGCTTCCAGG